AACTCGGAGGAGGCCTAATCTGTGCGATCTAATAGGTCACAAGGAGGTAATTGGCAGGAGGCGGTTTCTTACCTTTTTAAAAATAATGTTATTGAATTTTTTAGTAAACGTAGTAAAAACTATTACAAATTCAACCACAAGGAAAAAGAAAAGTAAAAAAAAACATTTAGAAGGTGTGAGGGGAGAAAAGAGAAAAAAGTAAGAGAGTAAAGAAAAAGAAAACAGGTGGCAATAATAAAGAAGTGGCTTCCAATCTTCATCACATCGAGCGTAGCTAATATAGTAAGTTTTTCACTCTCTTAAAATTACAAATGAAAAAATTCTTCCCTTAGCCTAACCTAGAAAGCCACAAATTGTCATGATTAGTGTTTACCAGAAATGTTAAACAAATACCAGATAATGTAGCTTTGTATTCCTCTTTTTGCTCTTCACAATCTTACCTTTAAACATTCCAATAGCATCATGGGATTTGATACTTCCTCAATTTTTTTGGCTTTCAAAAGAAGGCTTCAAAGGTTTCAGCAGCCTACTTTGTAAATCCCATAAAGAGGTTTGACTTCATTCAGGATTATTTCTTGCAGCTGTTCCTTGTCCAGATCCTTTTCTTGGTTTGACTTTTATAGTCCTATTGTGGTAATCTCAATTTGGTTGTCTTCCAAGCTTTCAAATTCTGTGTCACATAAGAGTTGTCTTTTTAAATTTTTCTCATCAAATAAAAAGTTAACCATTGAAATATGTAAAATCTGAAATTTAAGATGTACATGAAATTATATCAATCTTTGTTATGTTCCTAGACTAGCTAATATAAACATTGATTTAATATTCCTCAAAATATTTTAGCTGTTTCCTACCCTGAAAGTATTTTCTGCCTGTGATCTAGATTAAAAAGAATATTGACTGGGTTGAATGTGGTTTGAGCCATTGTTCTACACTACTGTGGCAAGGACACTAAAGAATGAAGATTAAAAAGCACTTATCACTGTTTCCTTGATATGCTCTTGATTCTTGATATTACTGGAATTATCTCAATTTTTAGAGCATCTTAAATCCATAGTCCAAAAGGAATAGAAAGCCCCTAAACAGTATTAACTGTGACAATACCATCATAAATCATTTTGAGAAGCTTCTGCAGTGATTAGAGTATCTGAGATTTTTATATTTCTTACTTACAGTAAAAACAATAATTTTGTTTCTTTAGTAAATCACACTTTTATCTTTTTCAGCCAAAGGTTCATATGATCTGTTGTGAGTTAGTGTAGATATTGTATTTATTTATTTAACTGTCATCAGGGAGACCCAACTTCTAATTTCCTCTCTCAGCCATACAAATTCACTAGATAATTTTGAGCCAATCATGTACACACCGTCTCCCTGTGCATCCTATTTTAGTAGGTGGTTGTTATGAGGAAAAATTGTGAGTGGAGAATGGCATATGTGTTGTTTTTAGCACTTGGAGAAAAAGGCAGGATAGAAATATAACAAATAAATATAATGAGTCTGATAACATGTTTAACTATGAAACATGGCACACTGTTCAAGCACTATTTAATGTGATGGGCATTAATCCTGATGTCAAAAATGACAACTTTGGATGAATTTTAAAAAATAAGGACAGCTCAATTGGGCGTGGAGACTACATTCTAAAATAATAAATTATTGAGTGACTAATTTAAGAGCATTATAGCCATTCAGATATTAATCAGAACAGGAGTTGATTGATAGCATATGCTACATATGCTGGGCTGGCGCCATATGCCATCAAGATACAGTTGTTTATTACAATATTTGGAAGAAGAATTCAAAGCTGCAAGCAGATGTTTTGACTCGCTTCATTTATTCCCCATACTTGTCATTCTTCCTGCCATAGATTAATATATTGTCCATATCATTTAAAATGTGACTTACAACTATAATAGGCAGGCTCCATTTTGATCATAACTGGAGAACGTACTGTACAGTATTACTGCTGGTCAAATTTGAACAACTAGCATAATAGATAGAATTTATTACATAGAAGCATCCTGAGAAATTGGGTGTCTCAAATAAACTAAGCTTGATCAAACTGGTCAAGTATCTCTTCCTCTTTGCACTGTAGCAGAAATATCCAGTTGACCTGCAATACTTATTTGTGGCAGTTCCAGCTCCTAGCAAGCTCTTCCAAATCAGGGCATGTTGAATAGTGAAGCACAGTTTCTGAGCAGAAATAGTCATTTCTAGGGGTCAAAATCCTGCCTAGGATTGAAATCCATGGGATTTAAGCAGGGGCATGATGGAGGGCTTTGAATTTGAGGGTGTCAAGCAGCATTTAACTCATGACAGATGTCATGTTACATGTGAATGATCTTGGGAAACAGGAAAGAGATAGTCGGGATAACATTAAGATAAGAGGTGGCCTAGCCCAAAGAAGGTATCTGGAGTGGCAAATGACTCAGAAGGGACCACACCTAATTTCTTGGGCTATAAATGTGACAGTGGAAAAAATTACATTCAGATTTGCAAGATTCTATTAATGTCACCTTACACTAAAATAGAATTCGTTCATCTGAGCACACTTGATTTGATTTGATTTTATTGTATTTCTATGCCGCCCTATTCCCAGAGGGACTCAGGGCAGCTCACAAACCAAGTAGGGGGGGGGGATACAAACAAGAGAAAAAAGAGACAACGGACAAAACAACACAACAATTTAAAAACAATCAACAGCCACACAATTCAAGCGGGGACGGGAACTCATCAGCCCCAGGCCTGTCGGAACAGCCAGGTTTTAAGGGCTTTGCGGAAAGCCTGAAGGGTGGTGAGGGTCCGAATCTCCACGGGGAGCTCGTTCCAGAGGGCCAGAGCAGCCACAGAGAAGGCCCTCCTCTGGGTGGTCGACAATTGGCATTGGCCGGTGGATGGAATTCGGAGGAGGCCTAGTCTGTGGGATCTAATCGGTCTGTTGGAGGTAATTGGCAGCAGGCGGTCTCTCAAGTACTCAGGTCCAATACCATGAAGGGCTTTATAAGTGATGACTAGCACCTTGAAGCGTATCCGAAGACCAATAGGCAGCCAGTGCAGCTCGTGGAGGATAGGTGTAACGTGGGTGTACCGAGGTGCACCCACAATCGCTCGCGCGGCTGCATTCTGGACAAGCTGAAGTCTCCGAATGCTCTTCAAGGGCTGCCCCATGTAGAGCACTTTCTATTTGGATTACCTTGCAAGACTGACAGCAGTGATTTAAAAAAAAATGCTGGCAGCAGCAATATTTTTTTCTTTTATATAAAGGAGATGTTATTTCTTTTAATTAGGAGGAAAAATTAGAAACTTGTCTTGCTTGATAATTAGAATAAATGGGAAATAAACACCTCCTGCCCCAATCTATGTAGCCTTATGTTCAGTCTGTTTTTGCATTATTCTCGCATTATTTGACTTGACTATTATCTTTGGGTTTTCCCCCCACATTTCTCCCAAGATCACTGTGTCCACTACTATGATCTTCGGAACACTAAACAGCCCATTATGGTCTTCAAGGGACACCGCAAAGCTGTTTCATATGCAAAGTTTGTTAGCGGAGAAGAAATAGTCTCTGCGTGAGTATTGTAAAAAGCTTCTACCCTTTTTGATTCTTGGTGAATTTCAGAAAATCAGTATTTTGCACAGCTTTATGAGCGAGATTGTATGCTCATACTATGTGCTTGTGTGAACTGTCAACTTGCACAGCATATTCTAGTACTTTTATTAGAACAAAAATAGAAAACTCTTTCTCACTTCTTTTGGATCCAGAGTGTCTCATTAGTGCTGAAGAAACTGAGAAAGATAGAGGTATATAACTAGTAGATTTTTGTTTTGTTTAGTTCTCGTCTGTTCAGCCACACTTCTAGGAGTTGCCGACAACATACTGAAATAAATGCTTAGTTCTGTGAAGACTTAAATTCACGTTTCTCTTTAGTATAGTAGTGAAAAAGAGGCAACGTTTGATTCCATTATTTTTCTGAAAGGTAGATTTTTTTTAACTTGCCGATGTTCTAAGAATTGCAGGAGTGCCCTCATGTGGTAACATACAACTTGAGATTTGCTGCATTTGAGGACTTGAACTTTGGAGACTTAGGCAGCAACCATTCGATCAAATTAAGGAGTAAACAATTAGCAGAAGGCAATTTATGTAATGATTAAACTACATTTGGAGTTTAAAAACACTCCAGGCAAAACCTTATCCTTTATTTTAACTTGCGTTAGTTCAGAAGATTGAAGAGAGGCATATCAGTTTTTATGTACATGAATGGAAGCAATAAGACTTTTCCCCCCCCTATTTTGCCATTGCCTGCTTTCTAGGGCTGAGAGTGATTGGCTAAAGGTCACCCAGCTGATTTGTACTTATGGCAGGATTAGAACTCATGGCTTCTTGGTTTCTACCTTGGGGCCTTAATCCCTACACCAAGCTGGCTCATAGGGATGATAGGAACTAACAAGAAATAATGGGTACAAGTTGCAGCTGTCTAGATTTTGCTTAACTGTAAGCAAAAATGCCCTGATACTCAGGTCTGTACAGGTAGCCATGGTGGTTCGGTGGTTAGAATGCGGTATTGCAGGCTAATTCTGCAATTCAGCAGTTTGAGTCTCACCAGCTCAAGGTCGCCTTAGTCTGCCATCATTCTGAGGTTGGTAAAATGAGGACCCAAATTGTTGGGGGCAATATGCTGACTGGGTAAACCGCTTAGAGCAGCGGTTCTCAATCTGTGGGTCGTGACCCCTTTGGGGGTCGAATGACCCTTTCACAGGGGTCGCCTAAGACCATCGGAAAACACATATTTTTGAAAAAATACGGAAAACATATAATAATTTTATGGTTGGGGGTCACCGCAACATGAGGAACTGTATTAAAGGGTCGCAGCATTAGGAAGGATGAGACCCACTGGCTTAGAGAGAGCTGGAAAGCACTGTGAAGCGGTAAATAAGTCTAAGTGCTATTGCCTTGGTTTATGACCATTTGTTTAGTAACTATTCAAAGTTGCAGCAGCACTGAAAGAAGGGATTTAAACCAGTCCCTGAAGTAATGGCAGCAATGGCTTCATCCTGCATTGCAGCTCAGAGGCTTCTTGCAACCCCAGAGTCATAGTATACTAAGAAACTCAAGAGTCAGAGCCTACTCCTTCCATGGCCTCCCTAAACTCATGCTGCACTGCAGCAGGACCCCAATTTACACACAGCTTGCACTGGGCTTCTGAAGGCTTCCTCTTCACCCCTGAAGCATCCCCCATGCTCTCTCTTGCTTAACGACTACATGTGTATGGAGTTACAAAGGCAACTAGGGCTGCTGTGTTTGCTGTCGCTAAGTGATGCGGTCACATGGCATTGCGTTTTATGACCATTTTGTGTAATGATGGAAACTCCAATCCCACTTGTCATACATTGGGGACTACCTGTATAATAATGGAATAGTGTACTATGTACATTTGGGTTCACTAACTCTAGGAATTTTAAAAAGAGTCTGGTCAGTTGTCTATTGTGGATGGTTTAATTCGTTTTGCTCACATTAAGGAAGGTTGGAATAGATGATCCTTATCATCCCTTCCAATTCCACAGTTCTGTGATTCTATAGAACAGGTATTCTTTGGGATTCATTCCAATGGCATAAGCCTCAATGAATTAAATGTAAGAGTAAAGTTATGTAAATTTCAATAAATTTAACATGGTTTTACAGAAAAATGTATCTTGGGATTCTCCATGGCTTTTTGTTTTTCTATAAATATGTATCATCTAATAAGTTACAAGGCTATTAATACTAAAGCTGACTTCTTTACTCGAAACAAGTTTTATTTACCTTTTCCCAAAGGACTTAAAGTGTTTTTGCTTGGAAAACAAACCTTTGCAAAACCCAGGGAGTGGTTTCTGTTAAATGCAGCTTCCCTCTCTGCTTGCATTGTCCCAGACACAGATGGTACCAGAAATCTGTTTTCCGCCTAACTTAAGTTTTACACTGTGCTGATTTTGCCTACCTGGGAGTCTTTCCTAATTTCCAATTTATTTATAAGTTTGTATCTCTGTCCTCAGGTCAACAGATAGCCAACTAAAGCTGTGGAATGTAGGGAAGCCACATTGTTTGCGTTCTTTTAAGGGTCACATCAATGAGAAGAATTTTGTAGGCTTGGCATCTAATGGAGACTATATTGCCTGTGGTAAGTAAACAGCTGTTTGAGCAAAGAAATTTAAATATACTGTTAAGTTTAAGCATTTATCAATGTCAAGTTTATGGCAATATATTACAATAAAATTGAATACACTATGAAATATCAACAAACTCATTGAAATGATCCATCCCTTTTCTTGATAAAAAAGAAAAACTTATGTTTAAAAATATGCCTAACAGCTGCCTGCCCATCTGTTTTCAAGAAATGTAAAAGAAGGAGGTTCAAAACTTTGAGAACATACGTAGAAAATGTTTGTTTATCCCAAATCATTATAGTTCAAAACAACTGAAAAAACTAAGTAATCTTAAACTTCAAAACGACAAGGAAAAGAACTATTTTTCAATTTTGCAGTTGGTAATATAACATAAACTTAGTACCATAACATAGCTTGTTGGTCTTTTCATAGTGAAAAATATCTCCAGTCCTTCAGCGTAATCTCCTTTGGTCTGTACGCTGAACTTTTTATTTCTTCTTATCTTCTAAATCCTGTTTGGTATTTCAGCATTCTCCTTGAACTCTAACTTCTAAAACAGGTCATAGAAAATATCTTCTGGCATCTGGAGTCATGCTGTTGCACAAAAAAGTTCCAAACATTACATCTTCAGGTGTATGCTTCTTAAATTGTATTAACCTTGGTAATTGCCACCTTTCATTCACTTTCTGAGTATTGAATACTTGGAATGAGTTGGTTATAACAAATCATACATGTTCTAATTAATCTAACTCCTATATTAGGGTTTTGTACTTTAACCAGTAGAAAGGTTTTAGTGGAAAATTTAGGTTGAGCTGGAACTGACAGAAATAAATATTGTAAACCAATCTGTATTTTTGTTTTTGATTGTAGGAAGTGAAAATAATTCACTTTACCTGTACTATAAAGGTCTCTCAAAGACACTGCTAACCTTCAAATTTGACACTGTCAAAAGTGTCCTGGACAAAGACCGTAAGGAGGATGACACAAATGAATTTGTCAGTGCTGTATGCTGGAGGGCACTACCAGATGGGGTAAATATTTTGATTTTTTTTTCTTCTTACCAAGAAGCAAAATAATTTGCAGGCCATTTATTTGGATGAACCTCAGTCTAGTTGTGAACATGTCAGATTAATGGAAGTTTTCATTCTGGATCCTTAAATGACCAAGATTAGGCTTTCTCTAGAATAATAGCAACTACTTCTACTTAGAATTACCAGTGTAGAAAGAGGAATATAAGAGGATGTTAATGGATTATCCAAACAGATATCACTGGACTATTATGCAAGAAATCTTATCTTTGACCTGTATCAGGCTTTGTACTTCAGAATTCAGTAGCTTTCCTCTTTTGACAAAGATTGCATTTAATTTTTTCTTCGTATAGTGGTTTTAGTGTATAGATAACTTCTTAGCTACGACCTGGGAGTCTTTTACTCCTAACAAACGTAATGCCTCTTATTGCTTTCTCAGCCCAAATAGATGCCTGTTAAGCATCCCTAGCCATTGTAAATTGTTGTCCCTCTTCCCAATCACATGGCTTCATGTTAAGAAGTCAGCTTTATGACTGGTTGTATTGTTGTGTGGTCACATGACCTTCATTCACAGTACTTTTTGCTGGTTTCCAGCAAACAAAAATGTCCACTGAGATTAACAGGTTCAGTTAAAAACCATCACATTTGGGGACTTCCTGTGGTGAAGTCATTGTGCTTGGAGCTGAGAAACGGGATTTCTCGTAACCTCTAACTCTTAACTTCTTTGAGCTCATTTCTGAGCACTGCGGATCCTGAAGGGACCGGCAGATTAAGGGGGAAACTCTGAAGACGCTGGGGTGATAAGGCAAATCCCCCAGCGGGTAGGAGAAACCCACTAAACGGACGAAGATCTATCCTGCCACTTGGTCAGGACTGGAGCGATGGCAACTGCATAAGAAGGAAGCAGAGAGAAAGCAGTTGAAATTGAGACATCTAATATTATTATTGACAACCCAAAGAAAAGGAGAACAACGCAAAATTGGCAGAGAGGGTGAGCTGGAAAGAAAGAGGCTCTGTGACGGAGACTGTTTTTGCAGTCCAGATTTTTGCCGAAAAGTAGTGAGAGCTGAGACGCTGAGTTGGAATTGACAGCGTGAATAACTTGAACGGAAGTGACCACAGTGAGAAACCCGCCGATAGGAGAGGGACGAGAAAGAACTAAAACCCGGCGTGGACCCCAGGAGTGGGATATAGTAGCTGCTGAGAAGACTTGGAAAGCACACACAGGATTGTATAACAGTCGGGTTGGTTGTTGATTTTTTTTCCTGCTCTTCCTTCTATTCTTTTGTCTTTCCAAAGAATAGCTGAACTTTGAACTTTGAACAGTTTCAACCGTGAACAATAAACTCAGGTAACGAAGGGAGCAAGTGCTCTTTTTCTGTTTGAAGGGGACACCTTAAAATATACAGTATTTACTCTCCTCGGAAGTTGGAATTGTACTGGAGACAGTAGAGAGAGAATTGTTACGGAACAGTTGGAGGGCTCCTTTACCCACCCCCCTTTGTTTTGTGTCTGCCACTGGGCTTGCTGTGCTTACTGACTGTGACTGACCGAACGGACAGTGATACTGAGGAGAGGGTAACACCTAGTGGATTATAAATTGGAACCGTGACATTTATAAAACCAAGACAAATTTATGAAAATGATAGAAGGATTTTATAACACTCAGACAGCCAAAGCTCTGATGAATGGAGATCTAACAGAAAAGATTGAAATTAAAAAAGGAGTCAGACAGGGATGCCCCCTCTCTCCTTTGCTGTTTATATTAACTTTGGAAATTTTACTAAATTTGTCTTGGTTTTATAAATGTCACGGTTCCAATTTATAATCCACTAGGTGTCACCCTCTCCTCAGTATCACTGTCTGTTCCGTCAGTCACAGTCAGTAAGCACAGCAAGCCCAGTGGCAGACACAAAACAAAGGGGGGTGGGTAAAGGAGCCCTCCAACCATTCCGAAACAATTCTCTCTCTACTGTCTATGGCAGTGTTTTTCAACCACTGTGCATACATAGTGAAAGGTGTGCGGGGGAAAAAACCCCCGCCGGGTGTTTTCAGTGGAGCTCTTCAAAACAAGACTTGTT